ATTCCCTATGTTTAGGGACTGGAATACTACCACAGTCTGGGAATTTCGCACCAGGTATGTTCTTCAATAATGGATGTTCCTATCATGCATTGGACTGATGTGAGGAAGGACTTATCTGGCACGAACTGCCGTTGCAGCTACGGTGGGGATATTTTACCGCCCAGAGGAACTCCATTCTACAAACCGCACCACATCCGGTTCGGCTTCATCGATTTCTCTTCGTCTACTTATGCTTCTGGAGGAAGTGGAGCAGAGAAAACATCGCGCAGGGTGCTGGGACGATCGGCGACGCGTCCATATGACGCACCCGAACTGTCGGACGACGTTCCGTACGACCCTTTTGCTGTCGATGTGAGCCGGTCTTTCCACCGATTTGTGTTGGATTTGATGCAGCTGCAGGTGTATGCGTGCGGCGCTTGGCTTACAGAAATGTTACGAAGCTACCAGGTACGTCCGACTACCAGCCCCCTGCCTTTTTACCGTGTATCCATGGATTCACAGCATGTGTCACCTATTCCAAACCTCGTTCGATTTATCTTTCCAGGGTTTCTGAAGTTCCTTCGTCGACTCATCTCTGCACAACCAGAGCTGAGGCCAACCGCCAACCGCGTCCGAAGCGCTGGGCGAGCTACACCAGGTGCTTGCGGCGATTCGCGATCGTTCGGATAAAGCACTGGAAGCACCGAATTGTATCTGGATCTATGGCACTCCCGATGAACTCCCCATGGTTGACAATGAGATATCCATGTAGCTATTCCTTCAAGCAGCATATTTATTATTGCTCAGGAACCACAATCCGCCTAACATATACGAGGGTGGCGTCTTCGAAGATAGGACGGATTCGGTCGTTTATGATTGGCATCCATGCCGGAGTTTCGGATTGGGGAAGACAGGATGCAGGCTGGACAAAGTCAGGAACGAAGAGGAAAGGAGGACGGGAAAGCCACCCTTGTCGGCATTATGATCATTCGTACTCAGCTTCCCCACGTATCCATTTACTGTTCGAGTCGTCGTTCTCGGTAGGATGGTCAGAAAGAGCAAGGCGGTTAGACCAGACATACGGCGGATTGCAATATTTTGAGACGTGATGGTAGCAATGACTGTCTGAGGCGTGGCGCAATCTATGCCGCTCTCAGCATGCCCAGCCCGTGAAGCTCTGTCTTCCTGTTTCTAGCGAGCATCATCTTCCTCTATTCAGGACAGTAGTAACCAGCTATGACTGCGCCTCAGGACGGACATGTGGATGGTCCACAGGTCACGCAACCCAGTCACCACCCTAACTGGCTAGCCACGCCCACAGGAAATTGTCAGTGAGGAACGAAGACACAAGCGAATAAGTCAACCAGACGTACCTATCTCCCCTCCGCATTGCTGCAGAGTCTATTTCTTTCTCTGCTTGCACAATCCACCTAACATATACGAGGGTGGCGTCTTCGAAGATAGGACGGATTCGGTCGTTTATGATTGGCATCCATGCCGGATTTTCGGATTGGGGAAGATAAGATGCAGGCTGAACAAAGTCAGGAACGAAGAGGAAAGGAGGACGGGAGGTGTTTTGAGGGGAGGGAGGGCCGGACGAGAGGATGGGTGGTTTCGCATCGGGGACCTGGACGTGAGTTTCAAGCAGGCTAGTGTGGAAGGAAGACCGACGGGGACGCACCGTGTGACTTCCAAGTATCACCATCCAGAAAGGGATTAGAACGCAAGTGCCCATAACACGTTCCGAGTTGAGAGGAAAGTGTGCATCGAGTCCGGGAGACAAGCGACTTAGTCAGATGAATAAAGGAGGGAGGGGAGGATGTAGATGCTGGGACCGAAGAACTGCGCCCTGGGACGGTCGGAATGAGGGAAAGGAATCCCGGTCAAAGCATAGGGGCACTCCGTCTATAATGAAATTCTTCTGATAACTGGCCAGTTGCCAAAAAGCGAAAGTAGATGATGGATATTGTCAACAACGAATGGGAATATAATATTGATGAAATGATATACGCTGATATGCTGTGGGAATCACTGGCAGACCCTTGTAGTGCAGAAGCCGACGCGGTGGACCATGGTTGTCAAGCCCCACCACTATCATTTGCCTCTTCAGAGAAACGCCAACAACAAACAGAGATGCACAACTGACAGAGTTCGCATGACTGCCTCGTACTGAACTTGTACTGAGTGTGCTGTGTCTGGTGGGCGCAAGTCTCGCGATCGGTGCCTTTCACATATCATCCACTTCTCTAACACATGGTCGCAAAAACACTGTGGTCTCCAAACACACTACCCAATTACTCCCATTTCCCTCGGCCATGTCCTGTGCGTATATTTGAATTCTTTGGAGCTCAACATATCCACTGAAGCGACAAGTGCTACCATCGTTCACCCCTCCACGCAGTCTCCATATGAGGGTTGGTTGCTCTCGCTCCCAATCCTGCTTCTTCCTCACCGCCTCAGATTGAGCTCCTCTTTTCATCTCGCGCGTTCGGGTTCTGGCTCCTTCCTCATTGTGGTTACGACTGGGGGCACTGTTGTCGCCACTGTTGACCCCGTCATCCTCATTCCCGTGGTCGCCCTCAATGCTATATCACCCAACCGTATTCGCCCGCGCAGCTCTATGCTACATCTTCCGAGGATCAGGTGCCGCACACGCAGACCCAACGGAAGTGCCACCCCAATTTACCAGCGCCACTGGCATGTCTCTGGGCAATAATCGAGGAATGGTCTTGCAGAGCACGAGGATAACCGAAGGGGATAGGAACGGAGCGTGTGAGAGAGCTTTCCTCCTCCAGATCATTGAATGAACTCATACTGAAGAAGGACCTCCCTAATCTCAAGAAGGTCTGTACCCTTGAGGTCAAACGGATGTCCTGCAATCGACCCTGATGTCTTACCTGACGTCTGGCGTGTCTTCACCAAAGCCATCAGTTGCTGCGACGCCGCATTGCCCAGGAATATCAACTAGCTACAAGCGCGGACTCGCTCACGTTAGTGCGGTCACGCGGAACGCCGAAGAGTTGCCATAGCGAGAGGAGCGCTGGTCTGTTCAAAACATTATAAGTTGTCCCACTTTAATTTGCAGCGTCGTCATTGCATGACACCGAAGCAAATCATTCCTTCCGCGCCCGATATTGTTCCGATATCTTTACGGCAGGGATTACTCATGGTATATTAACACAGCCTCAAACAGATGCAGTGAGTGCAAATCGGTCACACACGTAGAACCCTATTCTGACCGAGGATCAGAAATGCTTTCCTCTTGGAAGCCATATCGGGAACAATATTCCCGACAACATTGTCATTTCTTGAGATTACTAGGTGCGTCATATGTATTACAACGCAGTGGGCGACCGCGGGAGATGGGCTGCGCAGTTGTGGTAACTGGAGGAATGCTATGACTGAATGACTGACTCACGCGACAGGAAACGCACCCCGTTGCAAATGGTGGCAACCATCCATGTACAATAAGTGAGAAACAATCATGATGGTTGGCGGGAGGATCTTAATTCCCCAGTGAGCCCCAGCGTATGTGGGCTGTGGAGGTTGTACCGCATGACGAGTCATGTTGAGTTGGTGCACGGCCGCTACTCAACCAGCCATCTCCGCTCCAACGCGAAATGTTTGGGGCGCATCAACGAAATCCGATGCGGTACCCACTCCTTCACTCGGGCAAGGGCTGATAGCAGTCGCAAGTGGTCCGACGCCGACCAAGCACTGTTTACCTCGTTGCGATCAAAGGGCCGATAATCTAGTGTAAGGCCTGACGTATAAAATGAAGACCCACGATGGACCTCCGCTTTCAGCCAACCATCCAAAGTGCAGGTCCACTTGGTTTCGCTTCGACGTCACTTCTCTCCTCCAAGTTCACAACCGCCTGCTGGTCGGGTTTTCGATGCAAGTAACGCACACCCCTTTCCTTACGCCTACTCCTACTTCAGTCATAAACGACATCGAAACTTTCTAGAAGGCACCAAGATGCAGATCACCCGCACGCTCGTTCTCGCTACCCTCGCTGTTGGCATTGCAGCTCGTCCCGTCGAGCTCGAGACACGGGACCCGCAGGGCTCCGGCAAGGCGGTCAACTCTCAGAAGCCGGGGCTATACGATGTCTTCCACACCTATTCCCAAGAGATGAAGGCGATGTACATTGCGAAGAAAGGGGACGCGGAAGGTGCAGGCCGTGCACCTCGTCAGGAACGTCGTGCTGCGTACAAACATCATGCTGCGGCTGAGGCCATGAAGAAAGCAGTCGGTGGCCGGAGCCTGGAGGAGTTGAACTAAGACTATTTATTCTATGTAGTACCTTGCATTCGTAGCGAATTCTGTAAATCATGCT